GTTGTTGTAGTTGTTTTTTTTTTCTTTGTACAAGAACAAAGTCTTCTGTGTTTGGATCACAATTTCAAGCTCAAACATAAAAAGGTAAGAGAATAAATTTGTTTTAATTCTGTCAGACAAACCGATTAAAAAGCAAGGGACAGAGGGCCCAAATGCAGCCACCCTAATAGGATGTACCCCATGAGATATAATTAAAAACAAAACAAAACAATACTTCACAGTGAAGTTCTGAAGGTAGATTTGGGTTGCAGAGGGGTTTCATCATCTGAAGCGCGCCACAGGAGAATGTCAGAGGAAAAGGACTGCTTGCTATAAATAAACCCTGTTTCCCCTTAATAATTCAGCGTGCTACTCTTATTCAGCAGTAATTAAATATAAAAGTCTGTAAGGTTGATTGGGAAAATCAAAAGGATGCCCACACCTTTCTCCAGCTTAAAGTTTGGACAGAAAGCCAGGGTTGGTAAACCAATCAAGCGAAAGGAAATCGAAACAGTAAACAAGTGTTTGGTTGTTTCTTAAAAGCAGAAAACAGAGTGTACGACTCACAAAGGAAATGAGTGCTTGCTTACGTGAGTCATGAGCTTGTAAAGTGTTTGTGTCAATTAAATGACACGAGGTGAAGTCCAGACACACCCTGGAAGTTTTCTGTCACCTGTTGACAGGATGTCCATTTCCCTCATGTGAAGGTGTGGAAATGAACACGCTATGCTGACTGACCCTGTGTTGACATGAGATGGTGTGTGTGTAGGTGTGTGTGAAAGAGATGCAAGAAAAACTTTTTTTCTTCCTCTCTTGCAAACACTCAATCTTAATTAAAGGCCTAGCACTGAAGGAATGCATTTCACCTGCCTTTCATGCCAGTTTTAGACTGAGATCATATGGAGTTGTAGTCATTTTAGTGGAACCTTGAAAATAAGCTTACTTTTGCTTGTGTTGTGAATGACTCTTTGCTACAAGCACAACAATTTATAACTCAACAACTGTAAAACTGAAAGAATTATTCTCATTTCTGTGATGGATAAATTTAATCAATGTAGATGTGGCAGCCATATTGCATTAGAGTGACTCTAAAAGGTATTCAATTGACGTATAACCAAGAGTTTCATTGATAGCCGTTCAGTGGTTCATATCATGGGATATTTTGCTAACAGACAAGCCAAGGTTTTAAAAAAAATATGTTGCACTGTTGAGACCATGCACAGCCACTACCATGCTGGATTTTAGACTAATATTTGTAAATTATTGCCATTTTTGATGTTGTTTTCTAAGGTTGGTTGCAATAAAAGCCATTTTATTTTTTTTATTTTTATTTTTTTTACTGACTGTTATTTTTGTGTTTGTGTTGTGTTTGCGAGCACCTGTATATGTCAATACAATGATTACTCTATGGAAGTTTCAATAAAATAGGTTCAGTCATTTTTAGTTTATTTTTATTATTTTGCTAATGGTACAGAAAATTGAACAAACACACACACACAAAGACAAACATGGGCAAAAACATTTTTACTCCCTCTTTGCCTACAGCTGTAGGTGAAACTCAGCTTAAGTCAAGAAACTGGCAGTCGTTTAGATACTCTACATCTTCATTGGATAATAATTTACCCAACAGTCTGATGCTGAAATATACACAGCTTTATGCCTGACCCAATTATTATCAATGGTTAAAAAACATTATCATCCCAAAGAGGAGCTGCCTCCAAACCCAGCACGTTCAGTTACGTTTAAACATTTAAAAGAAGACACACTAGAGATGTAATCTAATCAAATTTAACACCGTCAAACAGAAGTTTCAGTGGATTATATGAGATAATGAAGACTTTAAAGGTTTAATAAATGGCGGGGGTGGGGGGGGGGGTCTTCCTAAAGAGGACTGTTATGAGCTTGATGACAGACTGGCAGATTCACTGAGGGTGGAAACAGAAAAACCCTGGATGATTATGTGGCTAATCTGATTTGTTGTCTGCTGAACTTCACAGCCGACCAACAGCTCAGTCTGTTGGGGTTGGGTGTATTTGTAGGGCAGCTGCACACCTAATATATGGCAAACCTCTAAATGTGTTGGAAGTCTGTTGGCACCAGATTACAGATTATCAGGAGTAAATTAAAAACATTTATCAATTTCATTTCCTCACTTAAAGCCCCGACTACACAAAATCCAAACATCTTCAGGCCTCTTTATTTTTTTTTTGAAACAATTTTAAACTTGCAACAATGGTACAGGTACAAGTGTGTAAACAGCATTAAAGCTGTGTAGCTTCTCTGCTTCAAGAGTTAACAGTGCTAATGCTACATTGCCTAACAGCAGATAAGTCTCTTCACTGGCTGATTCCAGATTAGAGCAACACAATAATCCCCCAGGCTTCACTGCAGGGTCACAATCTCCAGACAGCTCATCAGCAGCGGCCTGCTGTTGCTGAAAATCTCTCCACTTTATTCGACAGTTCCCACAAGTCGTCCGTTTATTCTTTTTTATCTCACTTTGAAACACAAAATAAACAAAGTGTTTCTCTTTTAGTGGAACGTGTCAAAAAAAAACACTCAACTACTTTTTAAATATGTTATTAAACTTTAAGTATTGGTTGTTTGATTTTGTCTAGTGTTGTATTTAGCTATTTTTTATTATTTGCTTTTTTCAAGATCATGTTTTTTTAAAATTAAGATTATGTAATTTTATTTATTGTGTACTTTGTTGTGTGTAAACTGTGATTATTCTTTTTTCATTTTATTTTGTACCATCAATTGTGTTAGCCTTGAATAATCAGTCTAATTTAAAGGGGTGAATTAAAAAAATGAAGGCTACAGTCACTGCCATATTTTCTAGCCAGGGTGCATTTTCCTCAACAAAACACCTACTGCCCACTCATCTAAAGAAAAAAAGAGAAACAATTCAGAGTAATTTCAATTGTTTCCTTTTCTTAAATGTTAAGCTGCAGAGACCGTCTAACTTTATAGTCTGCTGAGGCACAACAATTCTCCTTGTGGGATTAATAATCTTTTATATCTGTCTGGCAACAACAGCTTTGTAAACTCTTTGACTGATGCTTTGAAAGAAAGTGCTGGTGTAACTAATCTGAACTCCTGCGAGTCTGCCACTTTCCCCCCCTGAGAAGCCTATAGGAGGCATCTTAGACTCCTTGGCCATTGTCTGGCCTCTCAGGTGTCAGATCCGCGAGCCTCTGTCGCCATGCAGGCTGTCAGAACATTCTGCTGACGCTGCACGCTCGCTCAAACCTGCACAAACATATGACGACTGCTAAAGCAGCTGCAAATGCCAAAACATACTTTAGATTAGTGGTCTTCGTTAAAATTCAGCAAAGTCTGCCTGCAGAAACTTTTCTAAGATCCAGAAAATACATTTTTAAATTGCGTTTTAGCAGAAGTCACGCTCATTTTCCTTCCTCGCCAATCGCCATGTTGTCCTTTTAGGCCTGTGACAGCTCTTCTCTGCAGAGAGAAGCCACAGGCCAGATGAGGAATTATTGTAAATGCGGGAATAGCTGCGCCACCTCAAAGAGATTACCATAAATATGAAAAAGTGTGTGCAAATTAAAAAAATTATAATTTAATTCCAATTAATTCAACAACCAATCGGGATCCAGGTAAGACTACATTTGTGTTTGGATTTGGACAGCAGACCACCAACTGCGGACCCCTACTTTAGCTCTATCTCCCCACCCCACCCAACTCCACATAATTACACTACAGCTCCAGTTTGTCCGATAAGCATAAACATCTATTTCTGAAACTCACTGCTGCTTTCTATTAGATTCCAGAACCATCAGCCGGCCTGAAGATGATTCTGCCTGTCAGCCGGGCCCAGCCAGCCAGTCCGGGCCGTGCCTGGACAACAATCACATTATCCCAACACAAGAAGAGAGACAGAGAGAGAAACACAGCAATCAATACTGTTCACTGACGTCTGTCAGACCACTTAGGTTCCTCCCAACAAGTTGTTTTCCACTACAACTGAAAGAAGATATTCAGCTTTAGTAAATGTTCTTATCATGTGAGCAAAAAAAGAAGCTGAAATTGATCCATGTCTGGCTTTTAAAAAAGAGCTTTCTGCAACACAAAGCAGCTTGCATGAAGAATGACAGAATACATTTACAAGGCGGTAATCTTAATATTGTTACTGCACTTCCTTTTTAAAGCATGGGCCATAATAGCCTTGTCAAAACAACGACGACATTGGAGTTTCATCAAAAATATTTAACACTCCTGCTTATCTAAATACCGAACAAAGATTTATCTCCGTTCTGACTGGCTGGCAACAGCATCGCCAGGTCTCCATCAGGCAGAGTGAGCGGTCCAGCACACACCAGCAACACCTCTTTTGGCCATCCATCTTTTTCCTTCCCTCCCTCTTGCTTCTGCATGTTTCACTTTGACAAATGCACCAGAACAGGCAGCTCCTGCAGGACTGTGGGAGGTGGGGTGGGGAGGTATGGATCGGAGGAAATTGGATTTGATAGATAAATGTTTGAGGATAGCATTACTGCTTTCTCTTCCCTGCTACATGTGTGTGTGTGTATGTGTGTGTGCGTTCAGGCTGCACACACACACACACACAGATAGGACTGATAGGACGGGTTGTAAATGTGGGTTTGTGTGGAAAGACTGTTGAGTAGACTGTTTTTCTGAGGCTACCACTCAGACAGCTCATCTCAGTGCCACATTAATGTTTAATGGGAACTAAAAATTTCTTGACATCATAACACACTCTGAGCTTTTTGTGAATTATCTGTGACTGCTGTTGTTCTTAGGAAATCAAACACTAAAATACTACAGATTTATGATGACTTTGACACTTTTTATTTGTATTTAAGCGTTGAAGAGGGCAAAGAAACAGCCTATGCTTGTATTAGCCTGTAAATTATCTGTGACTTTAGGATGATTTTATGAGGGAGATTTTATGTTACTGCTTTACAAGTCAACACTAGTAGATGGCATGATTGATGAGCATGCATCTGCTGGCACTGAGTTCAGGTGGAAGGTCTTACCTGCAGACTTGGGAGTGAATTTGTCCCGGTTGGCAGCACACACAGCCAGCAACCTGTAGCCCAGGTCCAAGTCAAACCCCTGCTGAGCAGCGACACGACTCACCACCTGCAGAAAGTGCAATCAATTAGAAATACTGTTTTTAACTTAAAGTGCCTGTGACATGCATAGCCATGAAATACAAAAAGTCAGACAATGTACTTATATTTAAGAAACTTGGCATAATACATGAGATTTTACCAGTTACATCACATAATTGGCACATTTTCTTTTGAATCGTGCTCAGCCAAAGTGAAACAGGAAGTGACATCAAAGGGAAACTCTTCAAGAAATAAAACTCTCTGGTTATTGTTTATTTAAACAATATTATTTGAACTCTGACTCTTCCTCATATCTCTATGATAGTGGTTAAAATAATCTAAAGAAACATCAGATTCTTCTCTACAGTCTGTGTTGTTAGCCATTTTAGCAACGCTCTGTTCACATGCAGACATTTCCCTTTGACATCACTTCCTGTTACTCCACATGCAAATATCTCAACAACTGTTCATCTCAGCGGCATGAAACATTTTCTACAATATCAGTGTTATCCTTCCAAAAACACATTCATTTTTATTACAAAGAAATGATGTCACAGGCATTTTACACAACACGACGATTAAATAAATAACATTCATTAAATCAACAATGAGATTAAATCTAGGCCTCTAAACTTTTCTGAGCTGTTTCAATACTCTCAAGCCCTATTTAACTTTACTTTTTTCCATGAGCGAAACAAAGAACGTAAACACACACAGACAAACTGAGATTAATTTGGAGTCTGTATTCTGAATTGGTCCAGTGATTTCTAGTTAGGATAGGTCTAATGACCGTGTCATCCTCCAAGAGAGGCGAAGAAGCCAAAAACCACAGTCGCCCTGCATAAAGTCACAGCTTCTGGAAGGGTACAATCAAAACAAGTCTCTTCTGGAAGGACAAAAATAAAAGAGTGTGTCACGTGGCAAAAAAGTTGCAAGCTCAAATACCCAAACAGAAAAAAAAAATTATATGAAAAGAATTTGAAATGGGATGCAACACTGAGCAGAGGACTTAGCTTAATATCTGTAAAACCTCAAATGTTGATCAGTTTTTCGATGTACAGCTAGGCCTGTCGTGATAATCAATAAATCAATTGATCATCACATGATAAATTAAAATTAGGTTGATCATTTTAATTTGTTTGCTTGTTTGTTTTCTTCGTGTCTCCCTCTTTTCTACTCAGCGTAAGGGGGAGTGAACTCTGGCGTCAGGTATTTGTCAGGTGCATGTTCTCGTAACGTTTGTAGCATGAGAGCCCAGTGAACATGCATTTAACTGGAACTCTTTTAGCTGGTGACGCCTCAGGATGCACTCAGGGCACCGTGTCAAACCTTGGGTTCATTTTTTTTATATATACTATGTAAATTTCATAAACTTCCGTAAATTTTGTAAGCAGTGTGTGGCTAACCACAATTATTTTATGAAGCCAGAGGAAGACACATGAATAAATTGTGACGGCTTGGATAGAGGCGGGTAGTGATGTTGAAGCTTCAGTAGCTGCCGCCGTGTGTTTTCACAAACTCCACTCCGGGTTCGTTCGTAACTTTACGTAAATTTTGTAAACTTCAGTAAACTTTATATTACATTTCATTTCACTGGTTCAACCAGATTTAAAACCCCATCGAGACTGAGATTAATTTTTTAAGAGGACCTAGATTAGTTTAAAATAGCCTCCAAATCATTCATTGTGATAATTTCTAAGACAATGTATTGTCCCGCAACATTTGTTATTATGACAGGCCTATGTACAGCCAGTGATTACAGAGTTTCACTGAAGTCTGTCCAGTGTGTAATTAGATATTTTGCTAACAGACACTGCTAAAGTTTTAAACTAAGACGTACAATGTGTAGAGCTAACCAAGTAGAGTAAAAACATTTTCATCTCTCACTTTATTAATTAAATAATGGTAATAAATCATATTCTAGAGGATGCTCAGGGATCAAAAGACAGGGGTAAATCAATATTAAAAGTAAACCTCCTTTAGTTTTGACTTCAAAAAAGAAATTAGAACGAAGAATTTCAGTTTTAAACAAACACGTCCTTTTTACAAATAACATGGCTACTTTACCACTGAATACATAAGTGAAAAACTCATGTCAGTAACTGTATTTATTTGACTAGAATCAAGATGAGAATAAATAATTTTACCCTTCCTGTGTGGTCGTACTGCATTCATCTGGAGCTGTTTGGGAGCCATCCGCATGTAAAAACATAATCTATTCAGCCAAACCATATTATGCAAACCATCCTGAAAAGCGGTCAAACCGTGTTGCTGTCAATCGTTCAATTTGCCGCGTGAGTGAGCGAGCCGGGCTCGGAGTTTGTACAAGGCAGGCAGCCAGCTACAAGGGCTAGCATAGATTTAACATGGATTTAACAATGTTTCACCTCATAAGCCTTTTTTAGCCTAATCTCCCTCTGAGGATGTACATCCAGGCCCATATTCCTGTCAATATGCAAACAGTGTTACAAGAAGGTTAGTGGGCCACTCATATTTGTGGGTAGCTCTTTGCTGTAGAGAAAATACAAACATCTATGTGGTTTAAGCTTCTAAAGTGGCCATGTACACATACAAATGCAACTAAAGATGTTCTGCATTTCCACCGCATTTGAAGTCATTTTGGTTAACAGGATAACCTGCCATTTGCAAATCTGACTTCATCACAAAAAGAGATCTGAGAAAGAATGCACAGACTTGTTACGTGCAGTAATTTACCAGATAAGCAGCAGTTTGCGCTGCGAGTCTAATGAAACAATTTAGCTGATGGAGAGAGACCCCCATGCTGAGCTGGATCTCAGCGGTGGGCCCCATTGTATAGCTCTTTATCACCCTTTAAGAAGCTTTTATTGTGATTCGTTCATTAACGAGCATTTAAATGTTTGCTCACGTGAGCTGGTAACAATGCCCTTACAAGTTTTCAAAGAGTAATATAAATAGTAAACAGGTAGGATGTTTAATTCTTTGCTAAAAGACACAACATGGCGCAAATCTACTCTCTGACTTTTATACTATTTGCAAGGAAATAAATATTTTAATAAAAACTTAGATTTCCTATGTTTTTTATTTAAAAGGTGGATACATCAACCTGTCGTTTTTTTTTTTTTTTTTCAAAGTATGCACAATCTAATTACTGTTTTGCTCACGTCTCCTAAAAAGTACCTGAAAAAACTTGACCAAAACCATAATTAGTGTTTTCATACCGTCAGACATCCCATGAGACTTTGTTCGAAAGGTCGCTGGAAGGCCCGGGGATCTCCGCACCAGTCCAGCAGCTCCGTGGCAGCTGAGTGGAAGTTGGCCGGGTTCTGTAAGTGCTGTGCAAACAGACAGAGAGGAGTCCGCCTTCACAAACAATAGGGATAAGTGTTATTTTTTTTTTCTCACTTTTAGTACAAATTGGAAAAAACGTTGAAACCAAATTGCAGCGCAGCCTCGTGCTCTCCTTCCAAACTGCCTTGATTTAATGCCTTGTGTTTCTGCACAACCCTGTGAGGACCTCGACTCTTTCCGATGTACGCCCACTCAGGGCTGTGTTGCATTGTGGGAAGAAGATCACACCCAAATCAACAACGATGCCAGTGTTTCTGGTTAATCTCTTTTGGCAACACCCACCCCTCGCCTCCATGACCCAACACGGCTAACCAAATCGTTCCCTCCAAATCTTCTTTCTCGCTCCTCATTCACAGCGTTACAGAGCCTCGGCACCAGAGGTCCGCTGACTGACTTGGCTGCGCACAAAGAAAACAACCCTGGTACTGGCAGCTATGTGTGCAGACTCGGTACAAGCCGTTGGTGTGTTGTCTAATCTCTTTCAGTCTCTGTCTGTCTCTCTCGCTTGTTCACTGAGGCCTGAAACAGTCGAGTCTTTTCTTCCCCGTGTTTGAGGGCTACCAAGGCTGGCAGGAGACAATAAGCGGTTTTTAAAGTGGGCTTCCTTTCTTCACTTCTCAGGAGGTTAATAGCTCTGAGATGGCGCAGAGCTGCGGCTTGCTCTCTCGGTGAGATTGAGCCCACTTGAAAGCATTTATTCTTCCTATCTACAGCTGAGGCGTCTTGCATTTTGTTTTCCTGCAGACGGTGTAAAACTATTGTCTTAAAGGGGCAACAGGGGTGAGTGTTTTTTTTAAACGGATCCCCGATTAGTTGTAACATTAGACTTTATTTGATAAACAGACATTTTAACTGTAAAATAAAGACTATGAAAATACTGTAGGATGTTTAGTTTTTATAATTTTTAAACTAAAAGTTTAAAAYCATATWACACGGACAGGGCKATTTTATTTACACACAAAGCATTCTGGGTAAATGATGACGTGGATAGGTCCTCGGTGCGWGGCTGCTAGCGAGCTATATCCACCCTGAAGGTTAATCTTGGACAATATCTGATGATRGACTCTTTTAAATGAAACCAGAGAGCGTTGACAGAGAGGAGAAGGTAGAAATGACTCAGCCTGMAACTGAAAATATGGATGGAGGACKWCAGTTTAGCTTGTTTGTCGCACTAGCGCTGTGCTAATACAAATAAGGCAATATAGCATCAGTGCTAGCGCAAAGGCTAAATGGCTAAACTGAGGTCCTCCATCCACATTTTCAGTTACAGGCTGAGTCATTTCTACCTTCTCCTCTCTGTCAACGCTCTCTGGTTTCATTTAAAAGAGTCAACCGTCAGATATTGTCCAAGATTAACCTTCAGGGTGGATATAGCTCGCTAGCAGCCTCGCACCGATGACCTATCCACGTCATCGTTTACCCAGAATGCTTTACATGTAAATAAAATGGCCCCATCCGTGTTAAAATATATTTTTAAAAATTTACAAAACTAAACATCCTACAGTATTTTTACAGTCTTTATTTTACAGTTAAAATATATGTTTATCAAATAAAGTCTAATGTTACAACTAATCAGGGATCCCTTTAAAAGGTGGCTTTTTTGATGATGTGCGACCACAAAAAGCAACTCGTCATCGCGATGTCAAACATGGTTGCCACCCCAAGAAAAAAAAATCTTTAAAAGGAAATATCATGGGCTTCGAGGAGGCCTTGAGTGAATCGTCTGTTGTGATGAGAAGATATGGAGCTAGTTGCAGACTCTCAAAGATTTCTGAGTGATAAAACGAAAAGGTACTGAGAGTGAGAGAAAGTAAGGGATGCTCTTGTTGAGTAAGAAGCCTGTAGATGAGTGATATGATCTGGCATTTTTGCTGCTTGATGGGGTCGGGGGCGTGTTCTGGCCTCCAGCACGAGAGGAATCAGACATGGCACAGCAGGGGCTGTCGGTCCAGATCTGAACTCCCATCTCCTCCTCCTGCAGCTCTCGCCACTGTGTCTGGAGTGGGGATAGGGCCTGAGTTGTTCCTGTTGTTGTTGAGGATGGCCAAAGAGCCAGACGATTGACAAACTGTCCTCTACAAGGTGATTTACCTCTTTTCCAAGCCAGCCTCAGATTTGGCTGCATAACATCTACCAGGGTGCAGAAAAATCTGCAAGAACTCTTGGCTCTCTGCCAGAGGCTTTCCTCGAACCAAAACAACATCCTTCTGATGGAGTCGCAACAAGCTCAGAGCGCCACTGACTTACAGAGTCTCTTTGAAGTCTGCTTTACAATGAGCTCTTCAAAATCAAAAGGAGATCAACTGGAAGCAAAACATTTATTATGATAGACTTTTTATGTACACTTAAATAGGGCTTATCAATGTAAAAAAAACATTTGTGAAACGGGTCGCATCAACCAATTTACCAATTTGAAAAAGACGGGTAGTAAAATAAGGCCTTTGTGAGTTGAGGTGATGAGAATCGGTTCAGAAAAGAGGTTATTATGGTGGAGTTTAGGTGGGAACAGTGGGAAACGGAGAAGGGAAGCATCACATCATAATCTCGAGCTGAAAGCTTCATCATTTGCTAATTTATTCAAAGGCATGGTGTCACATGGATGTTGGGAGATATAAAGGATCACACCCACATATCATAAACAAATATGCCAACAGCCAGCCAGCTAGTCAAGCAGTCTATGAGTTCTGCAGACTATTATTCACAAGCAGAGGCGGTAGCCCTGGGTTAAGTCTGTCTGTCTATCTGTGAAGCTGACAGCCAGGGAAGAAATTCGGCAAAAATAAATAAATAACAAGGGCTGGTGAACGTTAAGAGTCAGATATATGGTGTCGGGGATCGCACGACGAGGCGCGCAGGGGGAAAAAGAGACAGCTTGTTTTGCTGCTTTGAAGTCTGTTCTCGTGCACTCTGCCAGATTTGCCTCCTCCTGCGACCCTGTGCAACATGAACTGTGCAACTGCAGCTCAATGGTCAGATAAACTCATGCCCGTATAAGGTGCCGAGAAGGAGAAAATCTATGTCGAAAAGTTTTTAACCTTAAATCCATGTTTGCGCTGCAGTGAAATCGAGCTCAAAATGCACGAGAGCCCTGCACGGAAAAAGGTCGTGGTGCGCACCTGTTTGATGCACTGCAGCCTGTCGTTGGTCTGCTGAATGTGCCGGTCCATCGATGGTAACGCGTTCATCTTGATGCCTCTACCGGGACTCCATTAAAAGTTTTTTTTTTTTCTCGTACTCTGTAAAAGAAAAAGAGAGAGAAAGAGGTGCGCCTGTTAGAACTGTCAAGTCTGTAGAGTTCAAACTGCGTTTTAGCAGCTTGACAAATGCTCAATAGAGAAGCGAGCTTGTTTATGAATCGGATCTCTGAAGAGCTTAATGTGCCTTAAGCACTTATTTTTGGCAAGCTGGTGAGACGTACCATGGCGGCACCGTTAGCAGCAAACGGAAACATAATGAAACAGCGAAAAGTTTGCTGCTTTTCATGCCCGAGGAAGCAGAATCTCACCGCAGCGAAGAAAGGACAGCTGTTATCTCCATTCAAAAGAAGCACATGTCATATTCAAGGTTATCAAAGTGATATACACCGCTACTTTATGCCAACACCTAAAAGGAGAAGATAAGGTCTAACGTCATAACATCACTTTGTGTCTGAATATTTAGTTCAGATCCGTCAGTGAATAGCAACAGGAACAGTCTCAGCTTAATGCTTACAGCTTCCACACATTCAGTCCAGGTTAATACATATTGAGCTGGTTTCACCAGCAAGGCCTCCTTCCCTCACATCCCTCAGTGTTTATCTCCATCGGCCTTGGTCCATCCCACATTCCTCCACACAAAAGGCCAACTGAGGAACCACAGGTGGGGGGGTGGGGGCAGGGCTCTAGAAAGCTGCTCAGAGCTGATAAAGGGTCCCCCAAAATTCCCCGCTGAGAGAGACAGACTGGAGGAAAAAAAAGACCAATATGACAGAAGCACTGTGCTCTGCTGGCGAGTCTAGTGTGCTTATCATTGATCCAATGCCCACAATCTCTCTTTTTTTAACACATGCATGCATTTAAGAGCATGTAAACCCAAAAGCCTGAATTCTTTCCTTTGATTAAAAGCAAAAAAGGTAAAACTTCAAAGGAACACTTTGAAAATAAGGCTGTATTACTAATCCTCTCAGCTTTAAGCATTACCAGAGTAGAATTACCTGGAGTGCACTTAAAGTCTTAAACATGAGCAAACACACCGTGTGCACGAATAAAGAGGAATTCTCGAGTAAATGTTGTCACCCACTTATCAGCTTAGACAGAGAGGGGTTGTCTTGCTCTGAAACGTACCAAAAATAAAACACTCGCATTTGCATGATGCATGGCACCGAGCCAGACTAACTGTGCATAACAAGTTCATAACTTTGGGTGGCCTATTTTTGCTGCACTGATGTGCTCCCTAACATCCAGCAGGTGTCTCCCTCTCCTGCTGCAAACCAACGTGTCTCTTTCGCACACTCCACCTGGAACAAGTGGTCCAGAAAGGGCTCCTTTAAGCCTTGACAAGTGCTACAAATCCCATTCAGCAGCCGAGGCAGCTCCACACAGAGCTAACAGGGCACACTCCAGCCCCGCTGCTGGCCGTCTGACCTTGTGGCTATTGATTAACTGTTTCCCCTGCAACTCCCCTTCCTGCTGTCCCAGCACACTTTGAAGCCAACCGCTGGAAGAAACAAAGAGGAAGGTGCGGGGTGGAAATTAGCAGCTTCTTTTACATGAATTTAATTTTTTTCTTCCCTTGTTGTTCTTTTGCACAAATGCAACGCGCACCTCTGCACCAATAAAAACGTAAAGGGCCTTTGTGAGTCAATGCAAACACAAGACCTCGGGTTCTGCGAGGAAACGGGTGGAAGTGGCCAGACGGAGCATTGTAACTCAGATCAGAAGCCGGTCCACCTGATGGGCCGACTGTCCGGGCTGACACACGCTCCAGCGCCACACCCTTGTTCGGGGGTGGGGGGGATGTGTTGCGTAACAAATTATGCTTGAGCGGAAACAGAGCTGAACTCTTCATCCTCGCCCTTGTTTTGCTGTCAAAATGAAACAAAGCATTCTTACATTTAATCATACGGGGCAAAGTCAAATGTTTTTCCTCTTATTTGCTTTTTATCAGATTTAAAACTGGGATAAAAATGTGCTTCGTAGCCTTTGCACAGATTGTTTTGTCTTGCTTTATTAGGCTTACTTTGTCGTCTTTCTTTTTTGAGCATGCAAACAACAAAGAGAGACCTGTTAAATCTTTATTGTCTTCCTAACACTCTGCCCTGCTCACCAGAGGTGCAAGGGAAAGGATTACACATCCAATTATGATGTGCACATTGCAACCTCCCCTTTTAAACAGCAGTGGGAGGATGCAGCTATGAATCAGAGAAGAGTAACAAACCACAAGCAATACCAACATCCAAGGAGGCGTCTGTCTCCTCTCGCTGTCTTTGTTCCCCTCCCTCTCTGTTTTCTGAGCAAAACAAGCAGGGGGGAAGCAGGGCAAGAAATAAGCAAGCTGAAACAAAAGCACAGTAATATGAAAGGTACTGAAGTATGGCAGGAGGAGGGCCAGAAGGGCCAGGCTCAATGAGGAAAAGAGACAAGAGGAAAACGGGAAGAAGAAAAAAAAGCGAGTGGTAAAATTATCTCATCATCAGCAACACACACTTAGTGTAGGATGACTCGCAGTACGAGTGATTTCTCATTTCAGACAAATGACTTCCACCTTTTGTCAAGTGCAGTTTGCTTTGAGAATGAATTCTGTCGATGGTTACTGCCAAGCTGGTTGCTCTCAGGATGTGTCAAGCAAGATATCGCTACATTTAGTAATTAGGAATTTAAACAAGAACAAAGGTCGTTTGTCTTACACGACAGCAGCACGGGATTTTCAGACACCAAAATTTAAAAATCTAAATTTCTGACTGGAAGTTTTTCTAAACTGCCAACACCATTTCACAGGAAAACACAATTTACGTGAAAGAGGAAGAATTAGCACATGCGCACTACAGCTGCAGTTAGTCAATAGTTAGTCTGCACATGTGCAACTAGATCAACAACAGTAACAACGGCAGAGGAAATTGCTATTTGTGCTGAACACCTTTTCCAATTCAATATTTTGTTTTACATTTTGGATGTAATTGTTCTCAAGCTCAAGACTAAAGTATCTGCACACATGAAAGACAAAAATCACAGCTTCAGCTAGTAACCTGCCATTATTACATTGTGTTCTACGTCTTTTGCGGTCTGGTCTCAATAGCAATTGCGATCACTCAGTGATTGTATAAATGTGTAATGTTTTTGCAGTCAACATTAGAAAAACTAACAAGTTTCAGGTGATTGCATGCAAAAATTGGACCTTACTTTTTTACCTAAGAGTCTGTTAAAGGTAATCAAGTTTGCTAGTATAAATGTAAATAAATCATACATTCATACACAAAAAAATAGAAAGAAGGTTCAGTAAAAAAAAAATAAAAAAATGTTTTTATAGTTGAGTTCAATGTGAAAAGTCAACATTATTCATAATAACCAGGGATGGACAGTAATTACTGAATATTTGAAGTCTAAGCAAAAGGGCAAATAAAAAAAAAATCCCAAATAAAAGCAGAAATTGCTTTTAAATTAAACAGAAATTAAAAGATTAGTTTGGTTTGTGCCAAACTAGCGAACAATAAAATGTGAAACAGGTATGTTACATATTGAGGCAGATAAGAACCGAAAATAAGGTTGGTACTAAAACTAAAATCTTTGCAGCAGTTTTCAAACAGTTTTCCTTGCTGACAAAAAATACATTATTTTAGGATAGACCATTGGTCTTTATAACATCCTGAAATAAACAGAAAGGACACTAAAACAGGACAGTATAACACAAAATCATAACATGATATCTCTAGAGTCTGTAGGGATTTTGGCAAGGTAACCTTACAGTATAACCTCATAACCTTGTCTGAGTTTAATTAAGATGCAACTACAAAAGGAAAAAAATCAACACAAATTGTAAAGAAT